TCGAACTCACAACCCCGAGATCAAGAGTCGCAGGCTCCACCGACTGGGCCAGCCGGGCGCCCCCGATGCCATCGGATTTTGGCCAGAGTTTTCCTCATGTAACTGACTTACCCGGAGCTGCCACTGGGTCGAGAGAGAAACCGAAAGTGACTGGCTTAAAACCTGTCACATTCTGAGTGGGGTGACCCATGGCCTGTAGCCAGGGACGGGACACGAAGAGCCTGGAATAGAATCTGAGTTCGTGAGCTGGTCCCACGCTCTGCCTTGAACGCAGAACACGTGAATGGGGGGAAGGTTCCCTGACAAGCAGACCCGTCTCTGACGTTTCCAAGCTGAACCCACTCCTCATCAAAATAAGACTTTGGAAGGGCGCCTGGGTGGCTCAGTTGGTTAAGCGTCTGACTTTGGCTCAGGTCATGATCTCATGCTTCGTGGGTTCGAGCCCCGTGTCGGGCTCTGGGCTGACAGCTTGGAGCCTGCTTGGGATTCTGTCTCTCTGCCTCCTCCCTGCTCATGCTCTCTCTTGCTCTCTCTCTCTCTCTCTCTTAAAATAAATACACTTAAAAAAATAAATAAAGTAAGACTTTTGAGGCCGGTGCCTTCCAGCCTCCTTTAAATGATCATTCAAAATGACAGCTTGGAAAGGGGCTCTCCCGCATGCCTTGAAAATGAAAGGTTTATGTCCACTGTCATTCATGTCATCTCCGAGCAAGTGTTTAAGTCTGAAAAACCCCCAACTCGTTCAACAGCGACTCGAGCTAATTTCGGGTTCACGGCGTTCAACTATGTGTGCTCCCGATGTAGACAGCAACGGGAACCACGAAAGTCAGCTCAACAAGGGGTGTGTGTTTTGGAAAATATCGGACGATGAAATACCTAAGTGTCTTCTCTCCCACCCATACATGACAAAGCACATCCAGAGAAGGAGGAAAGCGCCTTGTGAAAGAAAAGATAGCCCCCACCCCAGCTGTGCCTTGTTTCACAGGGTTTAGGGATAGTCTGGCTTCCTGTAAAAAACGTTAAGAAAGGCCCGTATTTTTAGTGGAACCTACACCCGCATCTTCTCTAATATACGATGAAGTCAAGAAGCGTTCTATTCTACCAAACTGGCCCTCCAAAAAAACAGCGTCTGCCAGTTTCCCTTTCCTTTGAAAAGAAATAATGGAACTGGAATTGTATTTCCTTAGCAAAGTCTGGGGAAATAAAGCAGGAAGTTTCTGTTTGTTTCCATGAACCAAGTTAGAGAGAGAAGCTTGGTAGAAAGCTCATCTGGGCGGTGAAGGTCGTCGCCTCCCGCCCTCCATGTGGGGCGGTGGGGAGAATCTGGCTCTGGGTTCACTGGGCACGGGCTTCCGTCCAGACCTCAGGAGCCCGATGGGCTCTGGTGGAGATAACGTTCTGATGATGTGCTTAGCATAATGATGCCTAAGGACACACAAACTGTTATGTTAAAGGAGACATCGTCGCCACCCCTCCTAATTTTATTTTATCCGCAGCACTTATCATTAACCAATATACCACGAATATTTTAGTGGGGGGGGGGTGCTGCATCGCCCTATTAGGGTGAGAGCCCTCTTAGGGTGTTTTGCTCACAGTGGTATTCCTGGAAGGCAGCCTGCCACATAGCAGGTGTTCGACAAATATTCGTGGAATGAATGCTCCTCCGGTATGCACACACCAGAGAGGCCATAGGCATGTGCTGGGGTCAAGGTGTCGGCCAAAGGCAAAGCCAGAGTTCTCCGTGGCTGTGCCCTGCTATAAAATCACCCCAAGGAGAAACCACTTCACAGTGAAGGGAGGGGAGTGAATAAACACATTCAAGTGAAAGAGAAGGACCCTGAGGGAGAGGTGGGGAGACAGGGGACGGGTCAGGCTGGGGTCGGGGGACAACAGCAGACCTCTCTTGCTTTGTTTTCCAGCCACCGTCTCCTGTAATAGAAACCACTTTGTGTTTCCTTGACACATCTAATGAAAATGTCACATAAAAATTAAAACCAAATGAAAATTAGAGCGCGTGCCAGCTATTAAAATCTTGTTAGAGTCCCTCAGAAGTTATATCCCTATTATGTTCCCCAGAACAATTCCCTTAGAGTGATATTTTTAAAATTAAAAACCAAAGCTATTAAGCAGGCTTTGTATATAGCCTAAGAGAACGTATCGATGCAAATTATCACTTTGGTTTCAACAGACTGAAGAATAAAAATGGTTTCATTTAAAATTCCAAGCACTCCCCTTAGCAGAGAAGCAGTAACATATTTCACTCAAGGATCAGGCTCATCCAATGGGAAATGGCAATCCTTCCGTGGAAATGGACTGTGGTATGAGCTCCTGCCAGACGGGTCCCTCCATCAGTCAACTGTCACAGAGCACCCGGGGACACCTGGTGGGGCGTCTATCCAATCCAACGTAGGAGAATCCCTATCGAATCCCATCTTAATGAATTCTGGGGAGTGCTGCTCAGATTCACAGCTATCCCTGATTTCCATAAGAAAAAAAAAACAAAAAACCTTGCGTGTCGGGAAGTTCAGTGCACTGAATAATACATTTCTTACCCCTCCGCCTCGGTTCTTATACGGGCGGAACATTTATCAGGGGGCAGAGGATTTCACAGAGGACACTTTGGCTGGAATACCTTCCCACCTGTCTACCGTGGGGACGCAGGGGAGGCCACCCGCTGCCCTTGGGAAATGGGTTTGGGGCTCCCTCCCAGCGGACCAGCCCCAGCTCACATCCCAGGATGTCTCCTTTATCTTTTTCCCACAATCGGGGTGTTTAGGACTCTGATGCCTCTCAGATCATTATCTTAATTTTGAAAAATTCAGCTCTCTCATTTCGAGAACCCGGCCCAAACCCCACAATTTATGCTCACGTTTTCCAACTTTAACCATGATCGGCTAGGCTATAAAGTAAGAAGACAATGCCCATTACTGGGCTATGAAAAATAAATGGTTCCATTATTTATAAAACTACCTGGTAACTCTGTTACTGTTATTAATAAAATCTCATGACTTCTTTTGCCAGTATGTTTGTTTGAGGAACATTTAAAGCAGTGCTCAAGGCTCCCAGCATAAAGCAGAGAGGCAGGAAGCGACTGAGGATACAGTGAAGGGAGAAGGGATTAGGAAGAGACAAATGGGGGACATACGGTTGTTAGGACATCAGGGAAGAGGGCCACAGTGTGACCCAGGAGACAGCAGTTTGGTTCAAGAACTATTCACTTAGCACTGACTTTGTGCCAAGTTAAAGATACAAAGGTAAAGGTCTGCTCCCACTGCTCAGCTTGTATTCTGGACGGCCCAGGGGGTAACCTCAACACGTTGTGGTCAACGCTGTAGGGAAGCCGCCTAACGATGGATGATGAGGATGTAACCCATGACACCAGTAAGCACCTAGTAAGGTCAAGGTGGACTTCTAGGAAGAAAATGACCCATCCATCTCACTGACCCAGTTGTAAGTGTCTGTTAGAGGAACCCAGAGGCTCAGGGTGATTGACCCTGGGGCCACCTCTAAACCAGGGGTCAGCGAACAACGGCCCCTGTGCTGTTTTTGTAAATAAAGTTTTATTGGAACACAGCCATATCCATTGCTTACTCTCTCCTGTGACTGCTCTTGAGCTGTCGCGGCACAGTGTGACGGAACCCGGAGGGCCTACAAGGATGAACATACTCCCTGTGTGACCCAGGTCCCTACCTTAATGTCACCCAAACTCAACGAGAGGAGAAAAGACAAACATATTCTGTATGAAGAAGTTTCATAACCAACGGGGAATTCATAACCTCCCAACCCACCAACAAAACAAAACAAAACAAAACAAATGGTTATTGTTCCAGGGCTGAATGTGTCGTCATGAAGTTTAGAGAGCTAAAACTTAACATCTGAATGGGGCCTTGAGAGCCTTGAAGGCAGAGAAGTCCTTGGGTCTCAGAGCACTTGCAAATCTGCCCCCTCAGCCACAGTTGTGTCTCTTGGGAGCTCACCTTTGACATCATTAAAGCTCGTTTCTGAAAACCCTTCGGTCAGGTCAATCAGGGTCCCCTCGGACTTGCACCGAGGGAGGCCGCTGGAGTTGGCCGCTCGGATCCGCTGAGCTGCCATCTTGAAATCTCTTCCTGGGGGGACCGCTAACGTGTCATATCTCCTCCTCCAGGTATCCCAGCGCTCGCTGAAGCTCTCCTCAGGCAACCATGCCGCACACGGGTCAGCTGGGCGATGTGCTTCTTCCTGAAAGTGGGGGGAAAAGGAAAAAAAAAAAGGAATTTCCCTTGAGCAAGCGCGACATAGGTTGGACAGGAATTTTGTGGGCAGTGGGAGTCCTCTTTCTTCCAGGGCCATTCCAGTCAAGACAGACCCAGGACATTCTTCCTGGCCCGAGAGAGCGAGGGGGGGCCCACTCCCCGGATCCTGTGCACACCCTGTGCCCATCTCACCCGCTGTGCGGGCGCACAGAGCCGGGCAGCACATCCTGGCCTGCTGTAAACTCCACGTGGCCGGTTCCGGGGTTCAGGGCAGAAGAAATGAGTCCGTGTGCCCAGACAATGGCTGGTCCTGTTAGAGGCACAGCCCCCAGCTGCGATGCTGGATACTCCGGAAAGCAGCACTCAGCACAGCACCTCTTGTGGCCCCGCCTCGGGGGGGGGGGGGGGGGGTGGGCCAGGGGCGCTGCTCCCTGCCTGTCCACGCCCCCCTAAAATCCTCCCTGGATCCCCAACAACCAACAGTCCTAAATAAGACACACACGTCGCCACTTCTGCGCATGAGGCCTTTGCGGAACGTGTGCCCCTGAAGCTGGCATATGTGCCCAGACGGTGTCACCGAGCCTCCAGAGCCACTCTCGGGCCTGTTTCTTTCCGGAAGGGGCACAAAGGCATCTGGGGGGCTCTCTCAGGAGATGGTGACGTGATCAGCTGTGGGATGACCCTGGCCAGCCCACGGAGGGGAGAGGAACAGCCAGGAGCCAACCTCAAAGCAGCAAATACCCCATGCTCTTCCCCGGAAACGGGCGGCCACGCCATAGCTGGCCGCACCTGTCGGGGCACGGAGGGACCAGGGCAGGCGAACTGCACTCTGTTTCAACACGGCTCGTGTGACCGGTCTCCGGTCCCTGGCTCCCTGGCTGCGCCCTTCAAGGACAGCTGGGAATACGGCTTCTGGCCCAGATGAGTGGCCTTCACCAATGAGAGGGACCCGCATGGCCCCAACACCGCCTCCTGCAGCGGCAGGGGGTGGGGTGACCTAGCCCGTCCGCCTCTACCCTTCCCCCAGGCTCCGCACGCAGCCTCCCGGGGGCTCAGTGCCAACCGTACAGCGAACACACGCAGGTTTGCGTCCAAGCTCTGCAGTCCGCGGGGACGTCTTGTGTTCAGCGTTTAAGTCGGTGGCCTCAGTTGTTGCACCTGTGACGCGGGGCCAAGACAGCACTGCCCTCACCGGTGTGTGGGGAGACTGAATATGAGAATCCGTGTAAGGCGCTTGGAACGGGGAACAGGGGCTCACCGCGGCCCCGGGGAGGATTTCTTTCCTTCTTTCCTTCTCAACCACCGAACGCCACACTCCTCACCGGAATGCTCTTGGAGAGAAGGGAGCGGAGCTGGCCGCGGAGGCCGGTCATCAGGCCAGAGGTGGCTCTGTGCCCACCAGGCAAGACGTGGCCACGTGCATGGGGGAGCCCGCGGGCCCCGGGATACAAGGAGAGCCCACCCCTGGAGCAGCCTGGCTTCAGAAAAGAAGCGTGATAAGATCCATCACTGAGACGAGA